ACAAATAAGAGAAGAATCTAGAAAACGTATCTAATAACAAATAGGAGAATGATATAGAAGAATGATATAATATTTGAATATTCCAACAGCTCTCGTCGTGATAGTGGGTTTTTGATTTTATTTTTTTTTATTTCTTGAACAGTTTTTAGTCTTGGGAACGGACTTACGGACATTATTTGCATGTTTATGTACATGGTTAAATACAATTTCTATTTATTTTCCACTCTTTCAATTTTTGATCTTTTTTTTTTCACAATTTTATTTGTATTTTTATTTACGGTGAACCCAAAAATTCACTTTTGTATTTTATTAGCCCATTGTCTACCAACTACTGATCTGCCACTGAATTGTAGCATCATCAACAGCCATAATATTGCCCCAAACCAAAAATCTTTACTTTGCCATTGTTTCGAGAGATCCACAGACCTATCAATTTTATTCACCGCTCATTTTTACTTATAATTTAAAGCGTTTAAACATTTCAGAGCAAATTTTATCATTTTCTCTTTAGACCAATATGGCTTGATTCTAACCCAGAAACTATATGACTTGATCTGCTAATTTGCCTATGCCCCTACTTTCATTTTATTAGAAGAATTTTTACCGTTGCAAAATGGATCAGTCACAATCTTTGACTACCATATTTCATAGTGGGACCCACTTTTTGAAAGAAAGTCGAAAATTTCATTTTCATGTACAAAATAATGTGAAACAAACAGGGGCTAAAACAGACATTCTGTATTATTGTGATAAGTGGAAATTGATAGGTCCTCAGCGTCGGATTATTTTGGCCCAAGCTCATCTCACTGCAACGGGGAATTAACAAATATAACACTAGAAGAGAGCTTTAACCAATTGTAGCACTCCTTTTATTTCTCTTAAAAGGATATACAATTGTACAAGTTCTCTCCCGAGAAATAGATGCATAGAAATCTTTGACAGGTTTTTGACAAATTGTTATCTGGCAAGCATTTATTGGATGTTGGATACAAAACGAATTTAAATCATCCAATGCAGCATTGCCACCTCATCATATGTACTGCTTTCTGTAATTTTCATTTATGCGAACAACTTTATTCTTCTCTTTTTATTCCTTGAGACTTAGCCCCCCTAATTTAATCGAGTATGAACTAGTAGAGATGGAAATCGATAGTGGCGAATTCTTTCTTCTGTTACATTTTGTCTTTATGGACAGTGAAAAACAATGACTTAATATGTACATGAGATAAGTAAGAACGCCCACCTCTTTTATATATGCAACATGAACTATAGCAATCCAATGTGGAAAATGTTAACCAGGAACCAAAAATAAAAAAAATGAATACGAAAAAAATAAAATTAAAGGTTGTAAATTTTAATTCAATATTTAAAATGTAACAATTAAAAATTTTAAAAATCAAACAGGGTGGAGATTCCTCGCCTTGGA